GGAAGGGGAGGGGAGGGGAGGGGAGCAAAGGGGAGGGGAGGGAACAAAGCAAGAAACAAAGCAAGAAAGAAAGGGATTTCTGAACTTGAAATCTACTCCTGGTGAAGATGCTGGGAACACAGTTGAAATGACAATGAATTTAGAATGTTCTGTAAATTTACTCAATAAAGCAGCAGTAAGTAGTGTTTGAAAGGACTGACTCCAATTTCAACAGAGGTTCTACTCTGAAGCCAGAAGTGGTGGCTCAAGCCTGTAATGCCGGCACTTTGGGAGGCCAAGTCGGGTGGATCACTTGAAGCCAGGAGTTCAAGACCAACCTGGCCAACGTGGTGAATCCCTGTCTCTACTAAAAATACAAAAATTACCCAGGTGTGGTGGTGCATGCCTGTAGTCCCAGCTACTCGGGAGTCTGAGGCACAAGAATTGCTTGAATCTGGGGGGCAGAAGTTGCAGTGAGCCAAGATCGCACCACTACATTCCAGCCTGGGTGACAGGGTGAGACTGTCTCCAAAAAAACAATCCTACTCTGAGTAAAATGCAGTCAAACAGCATCCCATGCTACAGAGAAATCTTCCATGAAATGAAGAGTCAATTAATGTGGCACACTTTATCGCTGTCTTATTTTGAGAAATTGCTTCTGCCACTCCAGCCTTTAGCAACCACCACCCTGATCAGACAGCAACCATCAGCATTGAGTCAAGGCCCTCCGCCAGCGAAAAGATGACTTGCTAAAAGTGCAGATGATCGTTAGCATTTTTTAACAATAAAGTACTTTTTAATTAAGGTATATAAACTGTTTTTAGACATATTATTGGACACTTAAACTACAGTACTGTGTAAGCATAACTTTTTACACACTGGGCAAACCAAAAAATTTCTATGACTCACTTTATTGCTATATTGGCTTTATTGCAGTGGTATGAAATCAAACCAATAGTATCTCTGAGGTACACCTGTACTAATCTAGATACGAACAAAACAAGAAATTCTTACTCCCCAGATGCTTACGACATATTATTTACATGTTTCAAAAAGTAAATAAGTTATTTTTCAAAAGTAATATTTTAAATGCAATACGGTATCCTGGTTTGGATCATGGTGCGGAAAAAAGATATCATGAAATTCAATTAATGTTTAAAATTTAACAGTAATGCATCAATGAAGGCTTCTTAGTTTTGACAAATATACTGTGATAACATAGCAATAATGGAAACTGGGTAAGGAGTATAAGTGAACTCTCTGTACTATCTTGGCAACCTATCTGTAACTCTAAAATTATTTCAAAAATAAAAGGTTATCTTTTTTAAAAAGGTATTCAGCCTGTGTTTGCTAATGATTTATTTCCCCTCATTCTTATAGATACATTCTTCGCTTTTACATGCAAAGTCAAAGCTCACATTTTTAAAAAATCAATATTTAACTTAGGCTCAATAAAAGTTCTTGAACTAAAAACTTACAATTTTTAGCACAATGACTTATCTATACTGAGTATCAACTAATTATTCTCAGTTTTTATAATAAAGCTTTTTATATTTTATGTTTTTATGTAACATAGACTCCTATTTCTTGGATGTTTCTAGTATTGATATACACAATGTAGCTACTTTAAAGTACAATTCTGTAACCTAGAATGATTACTGAAGCAAACTTGAATTTTTTTAAATTGATCCCTCTTCAGCTGTCTACAATTATTATAGAGAAAAAGCAATTAATTGATTAAAAGGACTCAAACATTATAAGAACAATTTTAAACATTATTGGAAAAATGCTAGATTTAATTTGGCATGATTTTTGCTGGACTGATATCAACTGTTCAAAATGCTAATGCAGAAACATGATCTTGTTTTCTTAACCAAATATGAACCACAAATTAATTCCATACATTCTTCAAATTCAAGCTGAACAATGAATTCTCATGCTTTCCTCCTTAATATCAAGATACTTCACTAACAGAAAACTTTGAGAAACATTAATGTTCTAAAATTATAAAAAGATATATTAACTATCGACAAATACTGCCCAAAAAGTCTATAGAAGTTTTATATATAAATGACTATTTTGTTTTGTCATTGCTTTTCTTTTTGTTTTTGAGACAGGGAATTCGTCTGTCACCCAGGCTGTAGTGCAGTAGCATGATCATAGCTCTCACTACAGCATAAGCCTCCACTTCAGCTTCTAGAGTAGCTAGGACTACAGATACACACCACTGCATCTGGCTATTTTTTTATTTTATTTTTTATAAAGATGGGGTCTCACTATGTTGCCCAGGTTGGGTAAATGCCTATTTTGACTGAATCACTTGAATACAATTCCTCTCAATA